ATCCTGTCACTGCAGAGAGCCGCGACAGGGGAGGGGCTGGATTCCCCCCCTCCCCGCTCCGATCCTCCAGCGCTGACTGGCGGAACGGACGGGGGAGGGGGCGGGTACAGCTGGCTCAGCCTCTACATAGGCAGAGCCAGCTGTCAGTCACGCAGCTGGGCGGATCCAGACATAATAGTCGGGATCCGCTACAGCTTTGGCGTCTCAGTATACCGCGAGCAGCAGCTAGCGGTATACTGCTACAGCTCACGGTATACTGAGCCTAGGGTGATGGGAGGACGCTAGTTTGTGTCCTCCCGTTACCCTGAGAACTATGGGGAAAAGCCCTAACCCCATAGTTCTCCTTTAAAAAGGAGAACTATGAGGTGTTTTCCCCCATAGTTCTCCTCAGGGTAACAGGAGGACACAAACTAGCGTCCTCCCATCACCCAAAGCTCAGTATACCGCAAGCTATAGCTTGCGGTATACTGAGACGCCGAAGCTGTAGCGGATCCCGACAATTATGTGGTATACTGAGACATACAATGCATGTATGGATGGAGCTCAATCACAGCAGCCCACATCGGACCCCAGGCTGAGGATCCACTCCAGCTCTCGTAAGGTATGGAGACTGGGTGGATCTTTTGAACGGCATCCCAAACGCACCTCCCACCCATTGTTCGACCAATGCTGTGCGTTCCATTGCAGTGCGACTTGGGTCGCGACTTAATGACCAAGGACAAATGCGGGTCCTGAGGTTATACAGGTTGAGAACCGCTGATGTACACAAAGCTCACCAAGATTCAAGGAAGAACCAGCATTGTATATAGAGGATATTTGCTTATCCCCGAGTTCAGTTTTAGGAGATCCAGCACCCCCACACATTTCTTCTACGTCCAGCAGTAAAAACATGACAGGGCCTCTTATCCCCCTCAGCTATACCCAAAGCAACATAAAGTTCTTGTCAGCCATAGGAGCCCTTCCTTGGAAAGGTTTTATATATAAAGTGCAATACGGGAAATGATCACTGACCTGGCGGGATGTCCACTCGCTCCGCGGGCTTCTCCTCTAAGCCGGGGTTGGAGAAGGTCAGACCTCCCAGGTCCAGTACCGGCGCGGGACTCCCAGAAACCGCAAGTGCCAAAACTTCATCCAGTTTGCTCCCCAGCAATTCTTGCCCGTCAGTCAATCCTACAAAGCTGCGGAGAGGGCAGTGGGGGGAAAGTGAGACCCTGACGCACAGGGAGCAAGGGAGAGCAAGCTCCCGGCTGCGCTGACCTGCGATACGCTGCCACCTCTGTATCTCCTCAGGGTGCCGAGATTTCTGCAGTGCTCTGCGTGTTGGTGATGCGGTGCGGCGGATAACTTTACAGGAGGAAAAATATTCCAATACCAGGAACTGTCCTTATGTAGGCGGCTCAGATCCATTGAAAGACACTGGAAGCTCTGACCGAGCAGGGAAACGTATTGGAAGCGTCACCGGCTTCACCTTGTTCCATTATCCCAACATATTTCACTCCCTTGAAAGGATGACCATTACTCAGGGGACCCACTGTGCCTCCTGCACCTAATGTTATACATAATGTAAAGGAAGGGTAAGGATAGAGGAAGAAGCAGAGTCCTCCAGCAGAGCAGAGTATTACAGGAGAGTTAAGAGCAGAGTATTTCAGGAGAGGAGAGTTATGGATGAAGTAGCAGAGTCCTCCAGCAGAGCAGAGTATATCAGGAGAGGAGAGTTATAGAGGAAGGAGCAGAGTCCTCCAGCAGAGCAGAGTATTACAGGAGAGGAGAGTTATAGAGGAAGGAGCAGAGTCCTCCAGCAGAGTATATCAGGAGAGGAGAGTTATAGAGGAAGGAGCAGAGTCCTCCGGCAGAGCAGAGTATATCAGGAGAGGAGAGTTATAGAGGAAGGAGCAGAGTCCTCCAGCAGAGCAGAGTTCGATAGAGGAAGAATGGGAGTCCTCCAGCAGTGAGTCAGGGTTGAAGGCGTCTGACACAGTGTTTCGGGAATGCGTTTGGGCAAAGCCACTTCAAACTTTTAATAAGGTAACAATTCGCACACCAGGAATAACGCAGCACAATGTGCGCAGATTAA